GGACATAACAAGAGTGCAAAACACGTGACTTTGTTTACACTCTCAGACTATCGACAATCGATTCAATGCTTTCACGACAATATGGCGTCCAATGTATTGATCTCTAAGTCTATGCTATTTTGCCACTATTTCCTACACTTGACACTCATTTCACTCACTATTCGTCCCATAAATACAATTCTGACGCTTAAGACAACAAATAAACGTATGGATAAAGTGATGATTACCTCAGATGTCGGTCACTCGAGGTGTCCTTTAAGTGCTGTATTGACTGAATCCTGGAAATCAATGAATGCCTCACTTTTGCACTCATTTTATACGACAATCCGTACAACGGTTTCGTTGCGAACTAACACTTGACTCACTGTCTCACAGATGGCGTCAATGCCTCACAACCAGTCAATCAATTGATGGCTCAATGAGTGACTGATTGACAGCTGAATCAGTGGTGTATTCATTGATGTACTGATCGGTGTACTGATTCGTGTCTGCAATGATCTACAACTTCCATATCTTCGACGGCAACGGTTTGTGTCGCTTCTCATTGAATCGCGAGGACAACGAGGACTCGACGCGACTCTTGTATGGCTTCCTCTACTCTCTCAAGTCATTCACCGCACGAATAGGTCCGGTGGTAAGCAAAGACAACAACTTCATGACCTACTCTACGAATGCCTATCAGTTGATATTCTACGAAATGGCCACTTCTGTCAAGTTTGTGCTCCTCGTGAGTCCCGACTCGACCAAAAACAACGAGTACTACAAACAACTTCTTCGTGATATGTATCGCATTGTTTACGTCGAGTATTACGTCAAGAATGGCATCAGAAGTGAGTCTCAAGTCATTGATTCGCAACTATTTCGCGACAAATTGGTTGAGTTCTTCAGTAAAGTCTAACTCATGTCTCATATCCTTTTGGAAAGACTTCTAAGTCTTAAAGACTTTCAAACTCTAAGACATCGATTGTTTTGTCATCACTTTATTTGTTATCAAATGTAATGTAATTTAAATAAACAGTTAATTACTATAAGAATGAATGCATTTTCATGTGAATAAGCCCGAAAAGAAAGCCGCAAAGGAATATTATCTCCTTTTGTTTCGACTTCTGTTTCTGCGGCTTGTAGTATCTCTTTCTCGACTATATTATCCCTATTCGCCTGTTTTACTTGGCGAGCATATGGGTGTGTTGAAGGGGTCGGACACTGACTTGAGTGGAACTGTAGACATACGTGAATCCGATTCTCTTATAGTCCACTTTGAACTGATAGACACCATAAACGTCGGGTATCTTGAAGTTCGACACATAATTGTTTCCCACTTTCTTCAGGACAGTCCGAACAAACGGATCAATTCTCACGAATTCCAACTGAACATCAGTGCCATCGAAAGGAACCCATTTTCCGGCCACATATCGCTCGATCTCAATCGAGAAGACCACGTCTTCCAGCACAGTGTACGCCTCCGGAGGCACCTTCTCTCCCAACTTGTGGTGTCGGACGCGTCCCACACGAAGTACTCCCTCTTCTTTGAACACCCATTTCGAGAGAGCGATAGCCAGCGCTTCGTTTCCCGATTTCTGTACTTTTTTATCGCTTCCTTTCTTCTGAACGGAAGACGCGAAGAAGGCGTCGCTGAAGAAGTCGAGAGAACCGGTGAATACGACGCGCGCGTTGTTTCGGGCCTGAAGTGCGGACACCAGAAGTGTATTCTTGCCGACGGCCAGAGGATACTGTTCACCAGAATTGCAATCAATTAATTCAATTCAATAAACTTTTCAATTACAAAACAAATCAATACTTCAGTTATTTTCTTATTTGGATTATAAGAATAAGCGGTCGAAGCGGCCAAAAGGATGTCCAGAACTAATGGATTGTTTTGATCGGAAACCATTCCAATGCCTCTGTAAAGAATGGGTCCAATGGTGGTGCGGTCGCCGACTATAGTGGGCGCCGCCAACAGGTTCTCCGAGTCGGCCACAATAGTCGTGTGCTGTCCCTCATCCGAGACATCATAGTTCATGTGATCGATCACATGAGCGCCCTCTTCGTCGATCTCGACGCCTACCTCTGCGGCCAACTCTCTGATGGCATCGCCGACATTGCTGTTGGCGGCGACCAATACATTGCCGCCGTTGTCGATGAACTCAGTGATCGCCTCCACATTCACGTTACCACCGAATTCTGTGCCATCAATACATTTAGCCATCAAATGGACACACATTTAACAAGAGATACCTTCGACGGACGGCGCGAAGATAACGAGGTGTTTGTAGATATGAGTGCCGTATTTGACTAACGAGAGGGACGGGTCATCGGCCGACCGGTACGTCAACTGAAAGCCTCGCTCTAATCAATGCAATAAACTCTTCATTAGTTTGATTCAAATGATGAAGAAATGGTACAAACGTTGCAGTGATTTGAAGAACAGTGAGTGAGTCTCTCGGATGGACAGGTTGTCCAACAACACCTTACAGAGGTAACTAACGCTCTAGTGATAGTGACTATCGTTTGAGTTGCGAAAATTGGTTGTGTACCAAGGGTGCTTTACCGCTAATTTACTTCTTGACTTTACACCACAGTTAACTTCTATTAGAGCAAACAAACGCCGGGTTTCTCAATGAGGTGTTGGCAATACTGTCGCCATTCGTATATAACGTACACTTTTATTCACATATTTTACATTCAGTTACAATAAGTCTAAATATCATACAATTTGAACATTATTTGACATAAATTAAAATGTATTTAAATTTTAAAAACTGTAAATAACTAGTAAAAAGACTATTAAATGAGTGATTATTACAATTAAAATATGTAAATAGAGTTGTATTCATAAAATACTAATGAATTGTATGTGTTTTGAGTGAAATATTTCGATGACAGCACAGAGTGGGCGCAAGTTTCCAATTGTATTCATAGGAATACTTGACTTCACTTTCAATTTGACACAATTTGCCAAAAGTTTGTAAGTTTTCGTATAAAACCCGAAATTTATCGACACTTTGCTTGTGAGTGATTAGATGAGAATTAAGACAACCTCTGGACTGGTATTCCGTGTCAAACCTCATGTCATGAATGCGATTGATATTAAGTGCCGAAAGCCATACTCCGAGAGAGACGTCTTCGTTGCGGAACAGTTGCAAGAGAACACGCAAAACACGGTGTTTAGCCTGGTTAAGGAGCCTATACTGTATTGGCGGCGGGTTTCGCATGCCGTCTATGGCTAGCGTATCTTTGGTTAACGAAAGTCTGGTGACCGGGCTGGAAAAGTGCTGAGCCCTTCCGTCAAAGAAACCCATATATAATGGCTTTGAATCCTTTTTAGTGATACTTTTGTCGAGCAATTCGTCGAAGAGTTGGTCGACTCTGAGGAAGGAGTCGTCGTCCAGTTTCACTAAATACTTGAATCTCATCTGATTTGAGAACCATTTGAGTGTCTGAAGGAGTTTCAGAGATAACGAAGAGTAGGTATCCTTGAGGTGCGGGAATAGGAGTAAGTCGTTGTGTAGTCTCTGTTCAGATAATAGCGAATCCAATAGACTTTGGTTCACATCAAGAGAGCCGACGACGAAGTAATGCTTCACTTTTCGGTCGCCCGACAGTCGAAGCCATGTCTCGCGGATGGCATCCCTTCGGTCACCATTGAGACCACTGCTGAAGATAACCACCACTAAGAAAGTGGTTTCAATTGATATCAACTCCTGTTTGCCGCCACTCTTCGGGGTCTTATCGGTGATCAACTCATTTGACTCCCAATTGAAGACAATGCCAAACATGAAACCCAACGAAAAGACAATCAAAAGACATAATAAATAGTAAATTGTATTGAATTTAGAAATGACTTTAAATCTCATGATTTGAGGCAAATATGCATTTGAGTGACAATTAAGTGATTGTTTTGTTGTCAACACAAACACAACACAAACACTACATTTAAATACAGCTCTCATTCACTGTAGTCTGCAATAAGTCTGTGGGCAACGCATGGGTGGCACCACTGCTGCCCTCCCATTGGACAGAGAGGGCGTGCGATCGTCCCTCACAGCCAATCACAGCAAAGCTCTCAACGTTTGAAAGGTTTCATCGTTTGAGTCATCGATTGAATGCTTGAATCGATTGTTCACTCTTTGGATGTGTTGTGTCTTCAGTTGCAGCCATGGATTCAATGACACCATCCGTGATGTCCGCTCAAGACATCCTCAATGGCACGAAATGCGATGGCGTAGAGTTGACCACAAATCTGTTCAAAGACCACAAGATGTCTTTGGTTGACGACAAGCACAGGACGGAGAGACTGCAGACATATCTGCGGATCCGTTCGGTGCCTCACTTCGAGCCCACAGACAGACAGCACTACTTCCACGTGAAGGACTCGACCACTCTTGAGGTGATTCCCCTGAAGGGGTCGAACGCCCATAAATCGGGTCAGGAGTCCGACCGAAAACACTATAAGTTTACGGAAATACTGGAGGAAAGCGTGGATCAGATGACAGTCTACGAGACGTGTGGACTCCCGATCGTCAGACGCTTCCTCAGCGGACAGAATGGTCTGCTCTTCGCGTATGGCATCACCTCTTCGGGCAAGTCGTACACAATGCGGGGCTCGACGTCCAGTCCCGGCGTTATTCCCAGAGCACTGAACACTGTGTTTGAAGTGATCGGCCATAAGCTCGAGAAGAATGTGCCGCCTCTTAAGCCGCAGTCGTTCACCGAATGCCAGACATTGAGTGATAGTGAGCGCGAACTGGAGGACGGCATCCGACGCTTTATATTCACTAAAAGCGACAAAAGCTATGAATCGCTGATGAGTTCGTTTCGGTCGCAGATTTCAGTTATCAACGAAAGCAGTCATCAGTCAATCGTCTGGACGGATGTCCTCCACTCGACCTTCAGGAGCGACGACTCTAACATCCAGTGCTCCGTTTGGATCACTTTCTACGAGATATACAACGAAACGATCTATGATTTGCTGGACTTAGAGGTGACGGGAGAGAGAAAGTCAAAGATTATGCTCTTGAAGGACGAGTCAGACAACTACTACATCAAAGGCTTGAGACAGATCTGCGTGTCCTCTGCAGAGGAGGCATACAAAGTGCTGCTCTTCGGACAAAACAATCTTCACATCTCATCCACTAATCTGAATAAGAATTCGAGTCGAAGTCACTGTGCGTTCACCATCTCATTGATCACCACTTTTCGCAATCAATTCACTAAGAGATCAGCCGTTGTTCTCAATCAGTAAGTCATTGACCCATGAATTCAATGTATATATAATGTAATGATTGATGCGTTGGACAGCCTATCGATCTGTGATTTGGCGGGCGCTGAGAGGAGTGAAAAGGCGAACAATAGCGGGGAATATGGGGAACGGGCCACTCGTGTGAAAGAGGCCGGGAAGATAAACGGATCGCTTCTGTCGCTCAGTCGAGTCATCACAGCCCTCAGACACAACCAGAGGTTTGAGTGAGTATTCAATGAAACACCATTTGGTATCTCTTGTACTGACCTATCATTGCACGCCATGACAGTCACGATCCCTCTAAGAAGCGATTCGTAAACTTCCGCGACTCGAAGCTGACGAAAGTGTTTCAGCCATACCTGTGCGGCAGTGGAATGGCAGCCATGATATCCAATATGAATCCGACCCCCAATCTGTTCGATGAAACGCTGTTCGCACTGAAGTTCACAGGCGTTGTCGCACAGGTAGTCGTCAGCTATGAGGAGCAACGCAACAAATTCCAGGATTCGCTCAAAAGACTGACACAGATGTGGATGCAGTCATCGCAGCGGTGGTCGAACTTCGCACAACTCAACTCTCAGAAGCCATCGATTTCTATAGTAAACACCATTGCAGAGGAAGATGAGAGTGAGTCGGACGGCGAGAACCTGGACCTCACTATCGAGGACATGGAGATGAAGATTAATGAGATGACGCGAATGGACTTAAGTCTCGCCGACCCTCAAGAACTCGAACTATTGAGAACTCAAATCGACTTTTTGGTGGAAAAACTAAAGCAAACAGAAATGGATAAGTTTGAGATGGAAGTGGTTGTGAGACAACAAGTGGTCTCTGAGTTCAACAAATTGATTAAAGACATGGAAGACATGGCGGACGACAAGGATAGGGCTAAGAAGAGTCTCGAAGAGATGATGACTCAGAGACTATTGAAAGCCGAGAATCTGCATAAGAAAGAGATCCTGGAGTTGAGGGCCCGCCTGAACGCCTTGGAGACCGAGAACTTCGAGATCAGGGAAGACAACTGTCGGCTGAAGGATGAGGTGGAGAGAGGGCTGACTGAAGTGGAGCTCATCAACAGAGTTCTCGAAGATAAGGAGCGACTCATCAAAGAGCTCGAGCCATACAAAACAGACGAGAAGTGTTTTCGTGACATGAATACGTCTGCCCTCACATGGGAGTCCTGTTCGACATCCACTTCCACTCTTAACCCTCAACTAATTGATGTGAACTGTTCGGCCATCCCTTCAGTTGATACTCAGGATGCAAACACTTCTGCCGTTGACTTTCAAGACGAACAGATTTCGTGTGATATGTGTGACAAAGGAGTCGGCAATTCATTTGTAGAACTCATGGACTGTCAGACATCGACCCATAATCTGTTGCAAGTGAGCGACAAATCGACGAGTTTTTCAATTGAATTCAACACTAACTCCGTTTCTGTCGAAACAAATATTATGTTAACTGAAGAGAAGGGCACAGAAACTGATTATCTGAATGAAACCTTAAGAGCCGATAAATGCATCGAAACGGACACCAGAAAGTCTTCAGACGTGTGTACTTCGCCTATGATCTCAACTCCGAAGGAAACCATTACTGCCTCCACTTCACCACAAAACGACTTGAAAGAGAATTTTGTTTGCAAACGAGATTTCGAAGAAGTGTTACGCAAACTGAATGCATACGAGAAAGAGATCAAAGAAAAGGACGCTATGATTGAATTCAACCGGAAAATTGTTGTCGAAAGGGATCAGTCCCTCAATAAACTCAAAGAGGAAGTCCGCAAACATGAACTCGAATTCAAGCCAAATGTAGACTTGAATTTGGAACACATTTTCAAACACTCGATCCCTTTGAAGACCAGTTCTATGGCCAGTACTATAGGCTCTTCGGTCTCCACTTTCACCACAAAATCAGTCAAATCTGAAGACTTGAACTCTATTTCGAGTATGGATTCAGTAGTTTCAGAGAAACCCAAGAAAAGCGCAAAATATTCGACTCGTAAAAGAAAACCCAATCTAAACAACTCGATGGACAAGCGTTACCTTAAATCAGTGGACAGCAATCTAGACGTACGTAACATTTGATGTGATACTTGTTATTAATAACAATTATTATAATTACTGTAAATTTTTAACCATTTTTGATACTTTATAGACATCTATGGAACCAAAGTCCTCACAGTCTTCAGTGACCACAAGTGAGCCCATAGAGTCTGATTGTATCGGAGAAGCCGTCTTCTCCTCCAAGAAGTGTCAAAAGAAAGCCAACAAACGAAAGCAAACTAATAGTTCCGTTGAAAATGAGGTAATTTATTGATTTCTATCAAACGTGTAGTCATTTCATATTGAATTGCATTCACTGTAAAGGACTACTCAAACATGATTTCTGTGTCTAAACGGAAGAGACCTCCTCTCAAGAGCCTCTACTCTTCCCCAATATCTCCCATCCCTTCCGTGAGTTTTGTGTTTTCATTCATCTTATATTCAGTTCACTTTATATGTCCATTAAATGTCATTTGTTGTAACCTATGTTTGCTTTGTTTGTCCCATAAATAGGCCGAACGAGTGACCCGATCCAGGGCTAAGAAATCAATAAAGTTTTAAATGAATTCCTTCCGTCTTTTGATAATTTAGAAATTAATGATATTTTATTCCAAAGATTATGTAAATATTGAGATATTTTTTTAATAAAACATTTTATCGCTTTAAATGTGTTGTTGTCTTCAGCTTTGGTTTTGTTTGTTGTAATGTCTGAACTCAGGCTTCAATTCCCACATATTCTTGTGTGGATTCTTTGCGTTGTAGTGACAGATCTCTTTGAGAATCTCTTTGAGGTATGGCTAACACAAGGGATAAGAAATTAGTGATTTGATTGTCGGTCTGAATAGAGTATGTGTGCAATGCTTACGATAGGCTGTCGTGTGATTCTCTCCAAGTCCTTAATGTTATAGTATTGGTGTTTCTCGAAGGCCGAGAACAACACGTCTTGTACTTTGTCTTTATCTTCGCGAGACTTCTTGCCCTCAGATTTCTTCTTCGACTCGAAGTCCAGCTATAATTCAATTCAATTCATGTAATAAAGAGTTAAACCAAACAAATAGCTGTCAATTACTTCTGATTTGTGCGCTGCGATGGGCTTGTAGTTGACGACAGCCTTATCTAACTGTTGCACAGTTCTGGTCGGCTGTGAGGCCTGTCTGATGGTCTCCTTCTTCAGGTTCATGTAGTTATCGTTACCAATGGGTCGACACTCGCCCTTCTGAACCACATTACCCTCGAGTGCCAGCACTGAACACGAGTCATCTGCACACACCATAAGTGACCATTAGTTGAGATCATGTGCTCATCCAATGGATTCAATCATCATTACCTGACTTCTGCGAGAAGACGGCTAACGTCTGGTACTTGATGTCAGAAATGGCGAACTGATGTTCCGTCGGAATCAACGCTTCTTTGGTCGCTTCGTTTGTCTCACTTTTGGTCAACTCTTGCGATAAATTGAATAATATTTCCGGCTTTCCATTGGATCCTCTGAGTGACAGACAAACGCATATTTATGAGACAATCATGAGATGGTGTGGAAGTGATGGAAGCGGTGGAGCGATGGCATACTTAGTGATGTGAAGTCTTCCGATCTCAGTCATGGGGGACGCCCTCTGCCACCGACTGTTCATATACTTGGGAACCTTGACTAACCAAACGCCTCGACTGGCGTTCGTGCAGTCGAGACCTCCCTCTTTGCCCTCTTTGCTGCTCTGACCACTCATTCAATATGATCTCAATTCACTTGAATTGTAATTAATAAATGAGTCAATAATTGGTCAGATATTACGATACGATTACAACCGTAACAAATGCTGTCATACAGTATAACCTCAATACAGGACATGTCAATACAATTTGACATTTACAGCCAGTGTAGAGGTGTTGTCGGGTCTGACATTTGACTCGCAGACCCTGATATAATTAACTAATTTAAACTATCATGTAAACCGGCAGTAAATTAGAGTCGTCACTCAATTTAGTCTAGAATATAGTGAAGTTTATTAATCAATCAGTAATTAGCACAACCAGTCAATGATTAGATAATAAATGCATTTTATTATTATTGTATATTATATTCTCGCAAACAAATTGACAAATGATTGATTGAAATGAGATTTTTAATGGAAATAAATTAGTGGCGGATAATGCAATTCATAACAATATAAACAATTAGAATAAATAAAAGTATACAAAAGCTTGAAAAATTTATACAGTAAAGTAAGATTCAAATCTTGGGTTAAAATATTAACAAATGACTTAGCAATTAAGTGAACATTGAATTTTAAAATACGGCAATCAATAAAATAGTTTACAAAAATTCTTCGCAATATAAGCTATAGTTTATAAATAAAATATTAATTAAACGCTTTTAAGTTTAGAATCAATTTCTTTAATAATGGGATCATTGATGTGAACGCCCCGTGATATCAATTCACTCCTTTTCCGTCTAATCGTTTCAATTAATTTGGATTTCTGTAGATTTTCGTTGGATTTTGTGTTTGAATTATTTGACAGAATCTTATTCGAGGTATTCTTCGGTCCACTACTTATAACAGGCTTTAAGTTAGGCTTCAGTGGAGTAGAAGTTCGCGAAAATATCGGACTTTTCGTGGTTTGGGTGCTATTCGGACGACTACTGCAACCAATTAATTGTCGGTAAGAATAACAATAAAATACAGTACAGAGAGGGGACTAACCTTAGAGACGGTTCTCTGGTCACCAAAATAGCTTTAGGCGTTGTGTTGGCATTCTTCGGCCCCGTCTTCACAGATGTCGTGGTCTTTGGCTCTTTAGAACCAATTCGTGTTTCACTTGTCTTTCTTTCTTTAATCTTTTCCTCCAATTCTTTGATTATATTCTCCTTTTCTTTAACTTTCCTTTCGAGAGAATAAACCCTTTCTTGAAATCTGCATTTCTCTGACTCCACATCTTTGAGTTTATTCTTCTCATAAGAGATTCTCTGTTCGTAATCGTCTTTAAGTTCACTCAAAACGCCCGAAATCTCATCATTAAGTGTTTCATATCTCAAATTAATCTCCTTTTGTTTGAACTCAATTTCATTCTCTTTCAAAATGATGTCATTTTCTCTGGCATTCATCTCTTCCAAAGACTTCAACAGTTTGGACTCGAGTTGTGTCAAGTCGTCTAACTTTCTCTTCACTTCCTCCTCCTTTTGCGATTGTTTTTCCGACAATTCCTTAAGAAATTGGGTTTCATTTTGTTTGAGTCGCTCTCTAAATAAAATCAATTGTTTTTCTTTCCATAATTCGATTTCAAGCGCCGTTTCAGTCATTAAGTCATCCAAGAAGTGAAGTGTTTGACTCGTATTACCATCCATTGAGTCCATGTCTCTCATTGCACTCACGTCTTGCAAATTAGGCAAAAGAGGTATTTTTGTTTTGCCATAATTTTGCAAAAACATAATGATCTGAATCTGAGCCAAAGGCTTGTTTTGTTCGTTAAGCACCGGAACACTCGTATTCACCGCTTGTTTAGCTTCGGCTTTGTTTGGTTTGACGCGCAAAATGGTCGAGAGATCCACTTTAGCCACACCTGTGATCGTGTGAATACTCGTCTCTTCAATCATTTCTATGATTAAAGGAATTTCTTTAAAAGTTTTCTCCAGTTTTAGTTGAGTTGTGGCAAAATTAAAGGCACAGAAGCCATGAGGTATCACCACTTCCTCGTCAGCTAAGAGCTTAATGGATGGAAATGTTTTAATGCTTTCCGTGTGTCCAAAGAAAGCGTACATAAATTGAAGATAACATGAATTGATTTGAGGAATACTTGAATCAATGACTCGAATATTTCTGAGATCAATAGCAAAGCAGTAATGGTTTAGATCCGATTCAATTGACTCTTTATCATTGGGTTTGAGTTTACTATTGTTTCCATCTTTGGTCCGATTAGTCAAAGGACTCTTCAATTCGTTCAAATGTTGTGTTTCAATGGCAACAGGTTTTTGTAAATCCATTTTGTCATCACTTCTGAGTTCAATAGAAACGCCGACAATTGGAAAGGGATCGGAAATGTCTATCGTTTCGTTGTCCGGAAGCAACTGAATTATAACAAGAATTTAAATTTATTTCAATCAAAAATCTATGATTAATACAAACCATAAAAGAGCCCTCAATTGGTTTGAATGCGGTTTGAGTTTGATTTACGAATTGAGATAAACTAATGGCAACGAAACCCAACAACACATCCGAATGATCGCAGAATTGCATTTCAATGGTTTGGTGTAATTGGAAGTAAACACTTAATGTGTTTCTATCGGCGCTCAGTATATTGAATGCCATCCTCTCGATCTCAAAGTCACACGAATTGATGTCATGAAAGGGTTTCGTTTTGACAGTTGTTCCCAGAAATGAATACCGAAAGTAAAATGGTTTTAATGTTTGTGTTTGTTGTGAGTTAACCAACAGTTT